GTAATTGCATCATATGACCCCTTTAATTGTTTCTACAAATATGAGATTAAATGCAGTCCAAAATGGGAATTCTGAAGTCTGCTGGCTCTCAGATGTTTCTACTACTAAAAAGAGCCTTGTAAATTCACATCTCTTTCAGAGTTTCAGATGAGATCTCACTATGTCTCAAACTGTGCTCAAATTGTCAAGGTAGATTAGATATGTCTGCAATCAAAAGTAAGAAATTCAATGTCTCATGTTTCTCATAAATTTCAATGAGGCTTGTGCTGAAATGCACTTTATCTCAGATGTTTCTCCCGAGAAGAAAATGCCGTAACAAGATCTCAAACTGTGCTCAGATTAGCCTAAATTCCAAAGTCTACAATCAAAACTCAAAGATCTCAATATGAACTCAAACATTTCTCAGAAAATGTTTCCCAAGATCAAAAGATCTGAGTTGTTCCACATTAATTTTACATTTCTATGTTTTACTGTATGACAACAAGTAAATCAACTTGTGTCTCAATTTCTCTGAAGGAAGCTTAAAAGAAATCTCTGAGACAAAGTTGATACTTGATACAGAGTTGAAACGAAACAGAACTCAGAATTCCATTAAGTCTCATGAGTGATGAAAGAGCAACATCTGAGCAGAGGATAGCTGAATTTAAAGTATCCCTTCAGGGGCCAAACCCACATCCACAAATACTGTAAAGAGAGACACTGAGAAAACACACCTGCTTAAAAAAAAAAAAAGAGCTGCATCACAGCAGGGGATCCACGTATATGCTTTTATAAGAACAACACGCAGCTCACTCAAGAGACTGAGAAGATGGGGTGGTGTCCCCCTGTAAAAAAAATCACAGCACATCACAACACTCCCTGGATGAAAGAAGACACAACATAAAATCTGGAAGAACTGCAGCTGGACACACTGAGCCTGAATGTTTGTGGCTTGTCCGGCAAGCGCAAAAGCATGAATATTTTTAACTAAATGCATCACTGTTGTGTTGAAACTGAACACTGTCTTTTCAAACAAAATGGTGTGCTGAAGCCAGATAGGTTCCTGATATGAAATCAGCAGGTTTAAAGGGACAGTGTGGAGCCTATTTTTCTGCCCCAGAAGTGGATTTTCTTCAGGTTGAAACCTGAGATTTGTCCAGTGGGATTGTCTCTGTAAATAAAAGCATCTGTTACACTTACCAGAGGAGATTAATTCTCTTTTGGACCACAGTGACATCTGTCCTGTTAGTAGAGAGTCAGTTCACGAGGAAAGAGTGTTCTGGTCTTAAACAAGTCACAAACTATTTCAAACCTTCTTAGGATGTCCTACTATTGGTCCAGTCGGGTTTTGATAAGTGATTAGACTACATAATGTATAAACAACGACCTGACCTCATCATCTTCATTAAGTATTTAGTTTGTCAATAATTGCTTCTTCAGTCATTCAGTGGGAAACTTTCAGTGTAATTCCTGAAGAAAGATCGGCCTCCAGTGGCGGACAACAGAAATGCATCCAGACAATTGCAAGATTATGAACGAAAATAGCAAAACGCGGCTGTGAGGCTCGGAGTGAAGAATATGTACCCGAGGAATAAATAAGGAATAAACGCAGGGGTTATTAACGGCAAAGCAAACATGTTTTCCCTTTGGGAAACACTTAATGAGAGAGTAACCATCAAACCCAGAGACGTGACATTAAATCAAAGGCTTTGTTAGCTGACTGCACAATCTACTTTAGCGACAGCTTCATCAGATCCCATTGAAGAAGAAAAAAAGATGCCGTCTTTGTCTCGTCTCAGTTACAATTAAACAAAAGCAGAGTGAAGAATATGTACCTGAGGAATAAATAAGGAATAAACGCAGGAGTATTTAATATTATTATTTGTATTAAGAAGAAGAAAAGATAGAGAAAGATACCCCTTACCATAAAGTTTTCAGGTCCGCACTACAAATACAACCATAACGGCACGGAGGAAAGATATTGTTAGAATCACTTTCAGAGCATTTCTTTCCAAGCTTTGAAACGATCATAACATTTGCCGCCAATCAAACATCTTATTTAAAAGCGCGGACTGCCGTTACTGACAGAACTGTTGGTGAGGACAGCGCATTTCCAACGGAAGACCAAGGGGTAAGAATTTAACTGGGAAGTAGGTAAACATTAATTAGACATTAAACATTTAACAAATTTTAAAGTTTAACTAACCGAAACCATGCAAAACCATTAAAATCTGTAACTTTCACATAATATGTGCAAGAATAATGAGATAAACAGAAATCCACCAAGGGGATTTATCAGATTTAATCAGAAAGTTCATTAGTCTACAAAGTAGACCCATCACAAAAAGTACTATTTAGGCAATTTTACTATCTAAATGAATTAAGGCCTATTTGCACAAAAATAATGACTGCGGTAAAGATACAGTTTTTTAAACCGATCTAAATTTAAAAGAATAGCATGAACGATATATGGTCGGAATCGATTTCAAAACCTTTTTTTTCAGCATTCATCAGTTGATGAATTATAAAAATGAAAGCCAATCAGACTCTATCCTGTTTTGAAGAGCTTGATCATTAAGCTGAAAATGACACATCTGCAGCATGTGCTTAAAGTCCCCATGAAATCAAAATGAAAGTTTTTTGGGTGTTAGTATCAATATGTTAGTCTTAAGGTTATCTATAAGGCAGTGTGCTCCAAAACAGTGACAAAATTCGCATTTAGAAGATATAAGCATTCAAAGCATGGAGTTCGTCACTTCCGCCAAAACGGCTCAACAATTTTTTTGACGTCACATCGTACTTCCGCTTCTCATCAAACTTTCTGTCCAATCAAATACTCTCTAGAATCCGAAGCGCCGCCCCCTGCACTATAAATAGACGCTGAAGCCGCGGCTGAAATCGGTCACTTGTCCACAGAATTAGTATTTTCTGTACAGTGAATGGCACGTAGTGCACTATATAGGGGACAGGGAACGATTCAAACAGTGTAAATATGCTTTCCATTGAGGAAAACAAGAAGTCTGGTTTTGCGCTGTGTCACGCTAACCACACACACTCTGCTCCGGTCCAGAGACACGATAGCACATAGCGGATCACATGCGCGAGTCGGCGCAGACCACAAAATGTATCGGAGCTATTTGAATTCTACACAGAATGCTATATTTTATAGCAATATGGATGAGATTGTGGCTGGCATACCCTGTCAAATGCGGCTTTACGGAGCTCAACGGCTCCGAACAGTTCTAGCCCAAGCTGTGATATAAACGAACGCTATTGGCTATTTTAAAAAGGGGCGGGGCTGCTTGATATGTCCCGCCCTGTCTTCCTGTTTCAGTTAAACTGACGTCAACACAGAGTAACGCTGCGTGCTTCTGACCATTTCAGGGGACCTTTAAAATAAAGCGTTATGGAGCATTTTCCTTTTTGATGTGAATGGGCCTCCAATCTGTACAAAAATATATGGGCTCCAACGAATATAAGACCTGCTGGTTTCGAAAAGTCTTGCCCCACAGATTTCAACATCGACGCCACAGATAACCTAATGTAGATGGAACTTGTTTTGAATCCAGAACACTCCCGTCAGAATTCAATCTAAAAGAGCTAAGAACATTTTATAGATTCTGTAGGTTTGTTCACAAGAATGAGTTTGTACATGAAGTCCAAAAGACATTTTTGAAATTAACGACACCAGAGCGCCTCAGAGAGTGCTAGCATTAGTCTTTAATAAGTGATTTTCTTTTTCAATGAAAGATAAAAAACAAAAACCTACGTCAAATCTATCAGATGCTTGTTATGTGTAGATAATTCCCACTGTAATTGAATTCACAGCAAACCACACTTTATTTGAACCGCTATGATGAATATTTGATCAAAACCGCTCTGCTAGCATAGCAGTGAACACCGGGATGCAGTGCCGTCGACAAGATCAGAAACATTCCGGTTTTGTGTAATAAATTGATACCAGTATCAGACAGATGCCACAAACATAGTTTCATTTTTCATGTCTCTGAGCTATATCACATCAGTTTCTTTTTCAGAGGCGAAATATGATTAGATGTCAAGATAGTGTTCGACATGCACGCAAACGGCAAAGCAAACATGTTTTCCCTTTGGGAAACACTTAATGACAGAGTAACCTTCAAACCCAGAGACGTGACATTAAATCAAAGGCTTTGTTAGCTGACTGCACAATCTACTTTAGCGACAGCTTCATCAGATCCCATTGAAGAAAAAAATGATGCCGTCTTTGTCTCGTCTCAGTTACAATTAAACAAAAGCATAAGGCCAAGCATCGGTCTCAAAGGTTTTTGCTATTATTTAATGGCAACTTGTTAATTATTTATCGATTAATGTTATTTTATAACTTACTCTGCCTCTGAAATGACTTTTCGGCTGATGTTATCAATTCATCGTTTTTATGCACTGTGAATTGACTGGATGGTGAAAAGAATCATCCCAACCCTTTTTTTTTTCTCACCAAATTTTCCCCTTCATCCTGAAATGTTACATTATCGAAGTAAAAATGCATTGCAAAAACTATTTCATGTTGACTTTAACGTTCACCCCAACATCCCAGTGGTGAAAGAGTAGATCTTTACTCTGATGGTACTTTCATCCATTTTGTATGAACGTTCTACAACTGATAGCACTTTTTTCCCCTCAGCCTTCCTTTCTTAGCTCCATTTTAAACTTGAAACCTCAGTTGTGTCATGTTTAATACACGATTTCAAATCTTCTATAAACAAATGGTCTGTAGCTGGAAGATGATTCGCACTTATTTCTGCAACCAACATATCCTATGTGACATAAGCAAGTCACATGCCCAACTTAAATGTCATATGCTTTTATGTAAAAACCAAACAATATGCATTATAAATGCAAAAAATTATTTTATGCGATATTTCAAATGCAGAAACATTGTATAGTTTATAATTAAATTTATATTCTATATTTAGTCTAAAAGTCTTATACACACAATACACATTACTCAAGTAACAATGCTTGTTTTTTTTATTTTCCTGAAGATAATCAAAGTAGTGTTTGCACATGCAGTGCTAACAAAATTGGGCAAATGGGACTAAAAATAATTATAATAATGACAAAGTTATCCAGGTGTATGTTTATTTCCCTAAAATAATTAGAAAGCCTAAGCTGATCAGCCATTTCATAGACATAAAATAAAATATTTCATTCAGAAATGTACAAGTGCTTTTTTCACACACCACTGCACTGTTTACTCGCAAAAAACAAACCTACATGATTCAAACTAAACTGAAATTCTGCGTCACTCCCAAATGAAAAAGCCAAACCTAATGTCTTCCTTTAGTGCTGAAATGTTTCTGTTTCAGGTTTAAAGAGGCTGGAGGGCTGAAATTAAAATGGCAAACATTCAAAGGTTTAAGGCAGTGTACTTTCCCACTATAACTTTAGTCAAACCTGTAGCTTTACTCAAATCGATCGCAGCGGGACTGACTCCAGATTTGATCCCAGCCAGGAACCAATACACTGTTTTTCAGATTTGGCTTGAAACTCAAGATTAATCTCCAACTGCTTTAATCTCACCTTTTCTAGTTGGACTCTGCAGACTCCTACCCAACATGGACCTTGTGATGTACATTTTAAGATCATAACCCATTGGTTCATTTTTTCCCCAGCCTGCCTTCTGATTGGTTGGGCTGATCTAACCTTCACCCTGATTGGTTGCCCATCAGTTTGTCTTAAGACGTTTGATGGCTGCTTCTTGGTTGAGGTCATCTTGCTCTCTCTTGGCACCTTTGCTCATCTCATCAGGTTGTCGGCTCGTTCCGGACTCTCCGTTAGATGGAGGCTCAGCGGTCTTCTTCATCTCTCTCCTTTCTCTCCTCTCCTCCATCTCTTCAATCTCCTCTGCAAACAATGCCTTCAGAGGCCGAATGAGTCGTGGAAGCATCGGGAAATCTCCAAATCGGATCTGTAAGCACAAGAAAATAACATATCAAACTTCACATTTGATTAAAAATGGAATATAAATAACTAATTTTTGAACTAAGAAAGTGAGGTAAGAACGAAAAAGAAATAAAGGGAAGGAGTAAAGGAAATAAATAAGGAAGTTATTAAGTAAGGAAGGTGGTAAGGATGTAATGTAGGAAGTAAGGAATCAAATAACTAAGGAAGTAAGGAAGAAAGGAGGAAATAACAGATGGAAATAAGGAACATAACTAAGGAAGTTTGAAAGGAAGGACAGTAGGAAAAAAGCATGTAAGTAATTAAGGAAGTAACTAAGGAAGGAAGGAGGAAAATAACTAAGGGTGGAAAGATGTAAGCATGGAAGGATATAAGTAATAGAGGAAGTAACTGAGAAAAGGAGGATGCAAGAAAGGAAATAACTAAGGATGGAAGTAAGGAGGAAAATTCCAAAGGAAAGAAAAAAGGATGGAAGTACTGCAGGTGGAAAGATGTTGGCAAGGAAGGATATAAGTAATAGAGGAAGTAACTGAGAAAAGAAGGAATGAGGAAAATAACTAAGGGTGGAAAGATGTAAGCAAGGAAGGATATAAGTAATAGAGGAAGTAACTGAGAAAAGAAGGAATGAGGAAAATAACTAAGGGTGGAAAGATGTTGGCAAGGAAGGATATAAGTAATAGAGGAAGTAACTGAGAAAAGAAGGAATGAGGAAAATAACTAAGGGTGGAAAGATGTAAGCATGGAAGGATATAAGTAATAGAGGAAGTAACTGAGAAAAGGAGGATGCAAGAAAGGAAATAACTAAGGATGGAAGTAAGGAGGAAAATTCCAAAGGAAAGAAAAAAGGATGAAGTACTGCAGGAAGTAACTAAGGAAGTTAAAAAAGGATGGAAGGAAGGATGGAAGTAAATAAGGAAATAATTAAAGGAGGACGTAAGCATGGAAGGATATAAGTAATGGAGGAAGCAACTGAGAAAAAAATGACACAAGGAAGCAAGGAAATAACTAACGAAGGAAGGAGGAAAATAACTCAGGATATAAGGAAGGAACGAAAGATGGCTGGAAGTATTGCAGGAAGTAAATAAGGAAGGTACGAAGTATGCAAGTAAAAAAGGAAATAACTAAGGAAGAAAGCAAAGAAAGATGTAAGTAATGAAGGAAGTTACTGAGAAAAAGCAAGGAAGGAAGGAAATAACTAAGGATGGATGTATAGAGGAGTATAGGAAGGAATAAAGGATGGATGGAAGTAATGTAGGAAGTTATTAAGGAAGTTAAAAAAAACATTAAGGATGTACGTAAATAAGGAGATAACTAAGGAAGGATATAAGCAAGTAGAGAAAGTAAGGTAACGCTTTATTTTAAGGTGTCCTTGTTACACATTTTACATGTACTTACTATTATAATAACAATAAACTATGCATAATTACATGCAAATAACCCAAAGCCAAACCCTGATCCTAACAATATTAAGTACACTTAGTTAATATTACTCAGTACTTAAATGAATAATTACACTGTAACAAGGACACCTTAAAATAAAGTGTAACCTGAAAGTAAATAGGAAAATACCTAAGGAATGAATTAAGAAAGTGTGGAAGGATTTAAGTAATGAAGAAACTGAGGAAGTAAGTACGAAAGGATGCATCTTATTTAAGATAGATAGGAAGAATTAGTTGTGAGTTTTCTATTATTTGACAATATCCTCACCCTCATGTGGTCGAAGGAGATCCCCACTTTGCCGTTGAAGTCGTCGCTGAAGAGAGGGATCTTGGCGTACCTCTGACTGAAGTGATTCAACACGATGAACTCAGCGTTCATCTTCATCCCAATGCCGATAGCCTGAGACGTGGTGCTGGAAAGAGTTTCAGATTCAAACACAAATCACTGACAAAATCACAACCCAAACCTGAGGCTGAACATGAACACCGAGGAATGCTGTGCTGCAGTATTAGTCTGTTTTCCTCAACCATTTCTCATGTTCAAGGGCTGATGTAGGATCTGTTTTCTACAAAGCCTACAACACAAACCTGTACATTTGTGAATTTCAGCTGATAAAGCTAAACCGACCCTTCACCAATCTGGAAGATGCTCTCCACCCTCTCAGGCAATCAATTCCTCGCTGAAACCCAAATGAATCCCCCACAAAATCTCCAATCGATTTCACTCAGAAGCTCTCAGCGTTATTCAGCTCTTAAATTGGAAAGGGCCACAGTGTGAGACACGGAGCAGTTCATTCATAGACCCGGCGCTCCAGAACTCCAGCAGACGACAAGGAACCCAATCAATGCTCATCTAAGAGGAGAATTCCACAACCTCAAGAGAGACCCGCTTTAAATGAGTCCTCCATCAGGAAGCACATTATCAACTGGGAAAGCTGACCACTTTCATTTCAGAAGATTTTCTCCCTCTGCCTGCAATTGAGGGTGATTTTTTAGTTCTCAAATCGAAAAGTTTCATCTTCTTGTTTGTTTTGTTAGTTTGTAAATGGCCAATTCAACCTCTTCACTCAAGACATGAGCTGTCCGATAAGAGCTGTTGATTAACTATTGCATTATTTATGGAGGAGAGCTCATGGTGAAATGCATTAATTGCATAGGATGTTGATGGAAATTGTGCCACAATGAAAAGGCAATAATGCCATTACTTATTTTATATGTGAATTACAGCGCAAATGTTCAGGGGTGGTAAGATTTTTTTGAATGAAGTCTCTACTGCTCACCAAGGCTGCATTAATTTGATCAAAAATACAGTAAAAATGGATAGATGTGAAATATTTTTACAGTTCAAAATAACTGCTTTCTACTTGAATATATTTTAAGATGCAATTTATTCCTGTAATAAAAAGGTGAATTTTCAGCAGTCTTCAGTGTCACATGATCCTTCAGAAATCATTCTAATATACTGAGAAACATTTCTTATTATTGTCAGTGTTGAAAAAGGTTGAGCTGCTTCATATTTTTGTGGGAACAGCAGCTGAAATTAATTTGAAAAAAAGAATATTGTTGATTTGGGTCCGATATGAACGGTTTGAGTGTCAAATTTTAGCGCTAGATGTTTTATGAATTAGCCAAAATGTGAAGCACCTGAAAAAAAAAAAGAGACTGCTATGAAGGACGAGCAGTTAAAAACTTCAGACCTGACAGCAAACATTTAAGGCATTTAAACGAAAATTAAGTTGTTGGTTTTGCTGCAAAATTTGCAAGTGTCATGAAAAACTAAATTAAAAGAGATTTGGTGCAAAAGACCATGACAAATATTTCAAAGTAAAAGACACTCATTCAGCAATATTATCGATTTGATGGAACTGACACTGATCAGAAAAGAACAAAACTTGATTTTGGAACATTGACACCGTTATTGAACTGATTTTAATCAGCATTGAACTAACTCAAGCAGAATAATGACACTGTTGTCTTCAGTAGAGCTGCTTAGCACTGAACTGAACTCGTTTCACAACGGATTAATTTCACAGTTATTAAACAATTTGAATTTGCCTCGTTTTTGAAGTTTGCATCATTGATTCTGTTATTTTCCTATTAAATACTGTGAAGCTGCTTTGAAACAATCTGTATTGTATAAAGGGCTGTATAAATAAAGGCGACTTGACAAACACTACAAGAAAACTTAATTAAAAACACTTGCTGTGACCCTGCAGCTCTGAAGTGTCATTGACCCTGTGTTCATGTACCTGTGTCTCTTCTCGCACGCTTCTTCTTCCATCCCGTCCTCCAGTGTGGCTTCATGAATCAAAAGTGTTGCATTCTTGCCTGAGAGCAAACCAAGAGATGAATCAAACTCTCCCCACCACACACACACGTCTGGTCAGCTATCCTCATGGGGACTCTCCATAGGCGTAATGGTTTTTCATACTGTACAGACCATATATTCTATTGCCCTACACCAACCCTACCCCTCACAGGAAACTTTCTGCATTTTTAGATTTTCAAAAAACTTAATTCTGTATGATTTATAAGCTTTTGTACCCGTGGGGACCACAATTTAGGTCCCCACCGTGACACGAGTCCCCATGAGTCTGTGTGTAGTCAGGTTTAAGTCCCCACCAGGATATATAAACCAGTACACACACAGATAAATTACAGCTGACATACTGTTCCCTCTTTCCCCCATTGTAAAACACACACAAACATTCACACACCAACGCACACTCCATTTTTTTCTCTCTAGAAATCAATCATGAGAACTCCAGCGAGCGCTGAGAAGACAAAGGCCTTTCCTAATGAGACGAGCGGACCGGACCATCTCCGGTGTTCAGGAGGGGAGCTCGGTTCAGGCTGAATACCCTCCATCACCGCCGGACTCCCTCAGGAGCCATTAAAGAGGTTTCTGTGACTCGGAGAACAGCGCTGGAGTGATCGATTACGTTGCTGATAAAGACGGGATGCAGCATTTAAACGCAGGCTTCATTCGTATCGATCCGCGAGTCACTATAGAGATTCAGGCACAATTACAGACTCTCTCTTTCCTGCTGGACTGGTGGGCCTTTAATGACCAAATTCTGAATGGCAGAATATTTGGAGGCAAAACTCTCTGTGGAAATGGACGCCGTTTGGTTTGTCTGAAAGTTCAGACTGAAAATGTGCAACTATAAATCTTACAGCATGAAAAATATAATTGTGCGTCTTAAATTAATGAGTGAGAGTTTGAGAGTGTTTTGGTTGACATATCCTGTCAAGAATATTTGCTGGCTCCCATTTCACCTCAGAATCAATAGAGACAAAAACCACACAATATTTTAATATTTCATCTCTCTCAAATGCCTTGTCCAAATACCCACACTTGCACAACAGGAAGTAAGTGCTCAAGACTGTTCCATGCTTTGAAAACGCCAAAGTGCAGTGCCCTTAACGCACACTAAATCCACATGCGCTATTCGAGGCTTAGTGTATCCCATCATGCATCATGTTCTGGAAATAAATCGTGAGACTTTTTGCCGAGATCTCGCGAGAGGTCACAGAGACCTTTCCAATGCAAGTTAAATATTAATATAATAATTAGATATCACATATAATTTGGTAGAAAAACAAAGTGTTGCACGATTTATTGGTGCAAAGATTAGTGTAGTGGTGATATTTATTTTGCACAATATTTGCAACTGCTTTTCATCACTTAATTAGAAGCACCACAAATTACAATTATGTCATGTTATAGGGACTACTGAACAGACATTTAGAAGTTGATTTTAAAATGCAAAGTATTTCAAATAAAAATGAAGCTATGTAAACACTTGCATTTTAAGTGCGTCCCATCAGGTAATGAAAAGTTCTACTCACACACTTGTGGTCTCCATCCTCACTTGAACACTTGGCCCAGATTACAGGAAATACGTCACACAAGTGGTCAAGTGCAAAGACCGCAAGTGTGAGTATTTGGACGAGGCAAAATTCTCATTAAATTTATTGCAAAATAATGAGAAATAATTTAGGTAAAGCTTTCCAGTAAAGCCCTACTGGTTAACGTTTTAACTAACAATGAGCAAAACAATTGCATTTACAGTATGTGTGTTATTTAAGTATCACTAAGATACTCATAGATTTTATTAATATTGTGAATCAGTTGTTTATTTTTGTATTTGTCCGTTTTTTATATTATATTTCAGATCAAATGTATTAACATAAAAAAACCTCAAATTGTTAGTTCATGTTAATTTAGGATTAATTAAAATTAACAGATCCAACTTTTGATTTTAATAGCATATTACTAAACGTTAATAGAATATTAGTAAATGCTGAAAGTAATACATTTTTAAAAAGATGAATAAATGCTTTAGAAGTATTTTTATTTTGAATTCACAATAACTAATGTAGTCAAGTAATGTTAGCTATTTCATTAGTTATTAAAAAAAGTGTAACAGCTTTTATTAAAATATATTTTGATTATAATTTCATGAATCATCAATGAGGGGTAAAAAAAATAAAACATATTAACTCAAACGTAAAAGCATCCGTGCATTATGTTCGAGACACACTATAACATTTGAAAGGCAAACTTTAGCCAATTTTACCCTTTCAACAACTTGGTACAGCATTATATTTATGTGCATGTGTACAAAAGCATGAGTGGTCATAGTGTGTTTGTGTGTGTGGTTTTTACCCATATTAACGACAGCATCGCAGGGCATGGTGTCTCCAGAGAACACGAGCTGCCAACCAGACTGATGCGTCAAACTGCAGGCGAACGCGTTCTTACAGTGACGAACATAACACGTCTGAAACTTCACAATCACGACAGAAAGAGAGGTTTCAGTAGCTATAAATCACAACATGCTCATGCACTCTTTATTCATTACGAACAGACAGTAATCTGAAGGGTCTGCTATCAGATATTTAAAGATTTATGTAAAATATTTTGTTGCTGATATAAAATTAACCAACATCATATAATTATTTGAAATGAACATTTATATTGCCATTAGGACCAAACCCATATACTTTGTGAGTATAAGAGTGCTAGAGAAGACACAGGGAAAAAAAATAAGAATATTTGAATTGCTGCATATAAATAAACGATAAAATATCAAATCAAGCTACTTTTTTATGTTACTTTTTGCATTAAACATTTTACACGTTTGGTTGAAAGCATGGTTGATAAAATAAAATAAATACTTTCAGAGCAATAGATATCAAGATATATACTGGACGATAGCCAAAAGGGTATATATGTATATATATATATATATATATATATATATATATATTAATTGTTTATACAGACCTTGACTAGGTCTTTCGTCTACAGAAGAGCCATTTAACCTACTTCTGTTACTTTTTGCATTGAATATTTTCATTTTTCTTTGCAATTACTGTTAGGTTAAAATCATGGTTCATAAAATAAAATATCAGAAAAAAATGCATAAACATCAAGATATATATATTAGACATCTCCAAAAGAAGTATCTATAACCACAAAAAGGCTATACAGTGCATACAGACCTTGACCAGGTCATTCTTCTTCAGAACAGCCTGAATTAAAGATTTGGTCTTGACTTTGGGGATCTCAGCGCCATCACACAACAACTTTGATGGGATAATACTGGAATAATTAAAAACAAAAGCGACGAGTGACTAGGACAACTTCATTTACTTTCAATTGTAGGAATCATATGTTCTCACAGAACGATAGAAATATAAAATAAAGACAATGTTATTTTTCTCCCGTACTTGATCTGGCTGAGGATCTGCTGGCAGTGATCGTGATACTGGTTTAACCACGTCATGATCTGCACAGGTGCGATCAGGTACACGGGACTGAACGCTTTACCTAGACTGTTCTGCATCACACAAGACGCCATTATCAGTGAAATAATCCATACACATAATCAAGAAATAATAAAACATATACACAAATAGATATATGCATACCAGAGCTCGCTCTCGTTCTAATAATAAATGAATCAAACCCTGTGTGAAAAACAAAACATACAGCAATCAACAGTCAGCAGAGCAATAAACAACACTCTACTAAAGCAATAAGCCCTGTGAAGCCGTGGTTTAAAGTGAATTTATAACAGCTAAGGGGCGTGGTTAGGCACGACGCGGAGCGGAGTATCAGTATAAACAGTATAAAACAGTTATTCCATATATATATAGTAAGGTTTCACAAAATAAAACAGAGCAAATAAAGTGTAATGATATTAATAAAAACAGTATTCTTCCGCCAAACAATGTAGTTCCTCAGAAACAGTTGTGGTTGCAACAAAGCGATTGCCGAGTAACACACAGACGTAAACAAAGGTGTATGTTTGTAGAGTAATTTACAACAGCTTAGAACGCGGCTCAACCAATCAGAATCAAGGACCGGAACGATCCGTTTTATAAATGATTATTTAATAGTATTTATTAAAGATTTATCACACAGCTCTATGATTCAGACTGGCTGATTATGGGTTTCTGCGATCAAGTATTTTAGCATAAGGACACTAAGCTTTTTTTGGGATAATGTGTAATGTATAGTCACATAAATTAAGCTTTAGCGTTAGTTCTGGCAGGTCACGTGAGTCAAGCTTGCATCAGCTGATTCTCAGCTGATCACATCTACCTATAGGAATACGACACCTATCGCGGCATTCCTATATAAGCTGTATTCAGTGTTATTCAGCAGCTTTTCAGCTTGCTTCGGAGCAAATTACCCTCCTCCATCCCCAGCTCCACCTTTCGCCACAGTCAGGACTTAGCTTTCTGATATTCCTTGCTAATCAGACTCCTTTATCTTGAATAAAGTGTTACACTTAAATATCATTAAGTACATTAATGATATCTGCCTTGTTCTGTTCTGTTAACCCTGGGGGGGGTTATTATTGCTGCTCTCCCTGCTCATTCATGACAGGCTGCATGGATGGGCAGGGAGGTTTTTTGCCCAGAACAGAACCATACCGCCAAACCAAACTTTATGCTAAGTATCTATCATTTTGACGATAGTGGTCCTGACAGAAACTGGTTTATTGCATGTCCAATCCCCTCATTGCACATTAGCTGTGTTTGTGAGTCTCTCACCGTGTGATGATCTGCGTGAAGGTGCGACACAAAGATGGTGGAGAGTCTGGAGAGGATCTCATCCACGTCATCGCCGTAATGACGACACAACTGGCCGAACGTTCCCTCGCCACAATCCAACAGCAGCGACTGAGAGGAGCTGAGGAACAGAGACATGTTTAGGCATACTTCAACTCAATTATAGGGATGTAACGATTACCGGTTTGACGATGAATCATGATCAAATTCGCCACAGTTAGCATTACCGTTTCATATTTGAATTATCATTAAAACCGTATTCGATTATCGCGATTTGAACAACTGAGGATTAATAAATACGGTCCAGCATAAAGCACAGTTTTAAGTCTCACGTGCGCACAGCACACAGAGTACTTTCGTTTTGAGTGAAAACATGGCGGAAAAGCTGCAAGGTTTTAAAAGAGTGCTAAGGGAATTATGCAAATGAATCACAATTCTGCTTTGTCCACAGAGGTTACGGGAAACAGCTGTAATTCTGCTGTTCCATAAGCGCCACCTAGTGGATTTACAGAGAGTTGCATTTACATTCCGCCTGAGTGCAGTTTTTGTCGGGGCATAAAATGGACTGAATTTGCATGCCATGCTGTAAATTTTGACTGGTTGATGAAAAACAAGCTTTAGTGGGTTCTACACATTTAAGCAATTCAGATAAGGTACCTAGACTTATTTATGGAGCAGATATAATACATCATTTATTAATCAATTATCATTTTGACAACCCTTTTTTTAAAGGCTGAAATGAGGGGTTTACCATTTCATGAAACTTATTCAAAGCTATATTTGAACATTTCAAACATGCTATTAGATAAACTGTTGTCAGTCATGTTGTCATTTAAAATCCAAATGATTGTTCTAGCGTTTATGCAAACAAATTGCCATTTTAGTTCTTGTTTGTTGATTTTAAATACAAAACTTGGTGAAGTGATTTATGTGCCAGTACTTTTTTGAACACTTCAAGCACATTTGATCAATACCGTGATAATACTGATAACCGTGATAATTTAGGTCACTATAATAGTGATAAGAAATTTTCATAGCGTTACATCTCTACTCCATTATATTACAGCGATCAAAAACAACAGTCTGTGGGTTACCGTGATTTTACCAAAGTCAGGAAGTGTTTTGTTGCTAATCGGATTCTGAACCAGAGGGACTAAAACACCCTCAACCACAGTAAAAACTTCATAATGCATGGACTGATGGATATTGCTTTTGCTTTTATAAAACAGCAACACGCTGCAAAACATGACTTTCAACAATGTAAAAAAAACAATAATAATACAAAAACAAGAAAATACTGTTTCACTCTTTCTTTCTTTATACGCTTTATTTAATATATGTATGCTTATATATATATATATATATATATATATATATATATATACTGTATATGTATATGTTTGATTATTATTATTATGGAACAATAAGTTTTACTACCTGATGTTCACTAAAGTTCCACTGACGTTTCTGATCTTCATCGGTAGAGAAGAGCCGGTGCCCAAAAACACAATCTCAGGATACTTCTCACCTTTACCAGCATAGAAAATGAACAACAAATTAAAAACATGATAAACATGTGAAACTAACTAAAAAATAAAAACATGATAAACATCTGAAATACAGAAGAAAATCAGCCCACACACACCCTCTATAAGAGCTCAGTTATTTTATAGTTCATATAGACAGTCAGAGGTCCTTCATTATGATCATTTTCCACACTTTAGAAACGCACATCCTTTGACTCTTGCACGATCTGAGGCGTCTGAGACAGATACAGTACAGAGTGAAAGTGAGAAGTGAAGAAAGTTTCACTCGGAGGAAATTAAATGTCAGGCTGTGGATGTGTTCTTGTCTTTCTGCTCTTCTAATTCAATACTTTCATCCCTCTCTCTCTCTCTCTCTGATTCGGTAGAAAGCTCACCAGACGAGGAGACGGACGCAGCCGCCTGGAACTTCCTGCATTCCTCAACTTCCTCTAAAAACTTTGGCACTTCGGCTGCTTCCTTCACGAACTCCTCAGAGTCGCAGGACGGGATGGCATCTCTACACACACACACACACACACATGAGAAAAGTTCCTCAAATCAGATCAAATCTGGCATTTCTAAGAACTTTCTAAGAACTAGTTTGTTGAAGCTGTAAAATTCACAATTTTCTGCCTTGTTTCACACTAGCTTAAAACAACAAGCTTGTGTATTTCAGGTAAATGAGGGCCGCAATAAAACTGTCAATTAAAAGCTACGTTTTATGCACAGCGTCTGTGACACACTGCCGACTGTTGGCCTGAACTGACCTTTGCCACTCCAGTTTGGGGCGAAGCTGAAACTTCATCAGACACTCGGCTCTGACGTTAGGAACACGGAGAGAAGCCGGCGGCTCCTACAACAACAACAAACACCATGCTGATTAATAAATCTTTCCTTACAGATTGGGAAAAAAATGGAAAACACTATTAAGTTAATTAAACTAGAAATAAAATATATAAAAAAAAACTTTTGTAATTTAATTAATCAGAAAAAAAATCAAATACATTAAGCATAAGCATAAAAAATACATGAAATATTAAATAAGAGACAATTTTATATTACATTAAAAAAATTAATAAATATCAAATTAATTTAGAAGAGATCAATTGAGTAAATCCGAAAAATATTACATTACTAAAATAAAAGTAAAAAAAAAAATTAAAAGAATACAATTAGAAAAGAAGTAATAATAAAACACACAATTACATGATGATAAATAATTGATCAATTTGATAAATAATTAAAAATGTCCCAACTGGCAATGGTTAAAATCTAAATCAAACTTGCCTGTAACAGAGACTATGTCATATTAAATTCAATTTTTAAAATGCATTAAATATGGAATTATATTAGAAATCGTCAAATGAATAAATTGGAAAAATATTAAATTAGGCAAAAAAACAACAACAATGTAATACTGAAATAAATTAAGAAAATATTAAGAATAAAATGACAAATAATAAATCATCTTCCTACTTCCTATCTTTCAAGCTCCTACTGGAAATAGTTCAAAGCTAAATGAAACTGACCTGCAACATACCTTGTAATTTTAAATAAAAAAAAGTTAAATTAAAATGTGCTAAATAATAATAATAAATTAATAAATCAGAAAAACAAACACTGAACATTTTTTTTTATTTTTTTTTTAAATGGCAATGGTCTAAATTGAACTGTAACACTATTTCACATTAAATTAGCATACACTATGGAACTAAATGAGCAAAACTGTATTAAAGAAACCTAAATAAAAGTGTCATGAGTGAGTGGTGCAGTACTTTGGTCTTGTAGAGTTTGAGCGGAGGGAAGATCTCAGGATGGATGAGGTTGAGCTGCGTCTGGAGTTTGTGACTGCGGGTGTTGTGCGGCGTGAACGTCTGCTCGTTCATCACCAGATGCTCAGTGCTGCTGGGAAACCTGAGACACAACAGATGTGTCACACACACACACAGCTCACGATCAGATCTGTGTGAGATCGCTGTACCTCTCCATCCAGCTCTTGTACTCATCCGTGTCCAGCACTGACTCAGGCGTCATGTGAACCACGAGAGCCGCAGAATCCTCCGATCCACCCGTCTGATACCTGCACACATCACAATAGGAGATATATACAGAGAAGACAGGCCTCGATTCTCTACAGGAAACATCTCTTCACCTTTGTAAGACGTGATTGGTGCAGAGCGGCTGTATGAAGTCCTCTGACGGACAGTCGACGACTAGGAAAACGGGTCCGGGATCAGCCGGCGTGCACAGCTTGACGAGTTGCGCTGAGTTGAATTTAAGTATGTTTAATTTAGCTTAGTTAAGCTGAGCAGAATTAATTTACATTGAGTTGAGTTAAGGTTTAGTTTTAATGTTAGCTTAAGTTTGCTTAGTTGATGTTTTTCATCTAATATATGGTATCTTATTTAGTTCAGATTTATTACAATTAACAAATTATTTCTAATAGATTTAGTTTTTGTTTTAGTAAACAATAATAACACTGCATGTAATCCATATGAGAGGATAATGGTGGGCTTTACCAAGTTTAATGTCTTCCAGCTGTCCTGAAAACACTCGTATGGCTTGTAAATATTTATCCTAAAACAACAGAACACAATACAGTGAAACACTAGAAGAAAACTAACAAAAGTCTCCAAAGTCTTAGATTTTTTGTGTAGTGAGAAAGACACAAAGATCTGAATAAAATGCACATGTGTAATGTTAACAGACAGCACCAGTTGAGGGGGTCCTGACAGGACACACTGAGGGACTCCAGTGTCTTTGAGGGTCAGGATCATCCCTGTACACACAAAACACAGAACGAACCCATCACACAATGAACAAAGCAAACAACCACAGTCTCTAATCATGTGAGGAAACATGGACTGTGAGTAATTGCAAATCAGAGAGAAAAGTGTTCAATCGGCTTCATAAGCAGCCATGAAAGAGGCATTACTTGTGCAGAAAAAGTGTCAAATGCAACAGAAAAAAGTCCCAGTCTGACCTGATAAACCACCGGCCGTCTCCCAGCTCATTCTGGTGAGGAAGATGTTGTCCAAGCGTGCAATTTTTATTCTGGATACAAACAAGACACACACACACACAAAAGCATTTTACAATCTGCAGTAATTAATAAGCACAGTTTACTAAATGTTTGTTTTGCACTCTGATCAGATCTTTATAAGATGTCAAGGAGCAAAACAGTGTTAGTTTATCTCTTACTTGTGTTCCTGCATCAGTCTCTGTGTTCCTTCACCACAGTTAAACAGATACCTGCATATGAAAGACATGCTGCTAACATTGTCGAATCACTTTTATCAACAAACATTATATACTGCTTAGACAGTCAGTGGCTCATGCATATTCAAATAGGAATATATATACGGAAGTATAGAAATGCATTTATATATTCATTAAACAGATGCTTTCAGCAAAGACAGATAAATGTATGAATCAAGAATTTCATGCCATTTTATTGTGATCTTTCATTACTGATCTCTTAACAATGAGAATTTTTATAAACGTTTTGTTTGTAAATAAAAGATATAGTAGGTGATTTTATAAATTCAAATAAAGTTAAATAATACTCAAATTAATTTGATGATATATAATTTACAGCTACTAGCTAGCACTGAGATTTTGTAAAAATATTTAAAATCATTCCTCAACTAACATACTCTTTAGTCAAGTTCAGTTAAGTTTTATTTAAATTGAGTCGAGATATGTTTATGACGAGTTGCGCTGAGCTGAATTTAAGTACATTTAATTTAGCTTAGTTGAGCTGAGCTCAATTTAAACTGAGTTAATTTTAGTCAAGTTCAGTTAAGTTTTATTTAAATTGAGTCGAGATATGTTTATGACGAGTTGCGCTGAGCTGAATTTAAGTACATTTAATTTAGCTTAGTTGAGCTGAGCTCAATTTAAACTGAGTTAATTTTAGTCAAGTTCAGTTAAGTTTTATTTAAATTGAGTTGAGATGTTTATGACGAGTTGCGCTGAGCTGAATTTAAGTACATTTAATTTAGCTTAGTTGAGCTGAGCTCAATTTAAACTGAGTTAATTTTAGTCAAGTTCAGTTAAGTTTTATTTAAATTGAGTCGAGATATGTTTATGACGAGTTGCGCTGAGTTGAATTTAAGTATGTTTAATTTAGCTTAGTTAAGCTGAGCAGAATTAATTTACATTGAGTTGAGTTAAGGTTTAGTTTTAATGTTAGCTTAAGTTTGCTTAGTTGATGTTTTTCATCTAATATATGGTATCTTATTTAGTTCAGATTTATTACAATTAACAAATTATTTCTAATAGATTTAGTTTTTGTTTTAGTAAACAATAATAACACTGCATGTAATCCATATGAGAGGATAATGGTGGGCTTTACCAAGTTTAATGTCTTCCAGCTGTCCTGAAAACACTCGTATGGCTTGTAAATATTTATCCTAAAACAACAGAACACAATACAGTGAAACACTAGAAGAAAACTAACAAAAGTCTCCAAAGTCTTAGATTTTTTGTGTAGTGAGAAAGACACAAAGATCCGAATAAAATGCACATGTGTAATGTTAACAGACAGCACCAGTTGCGGGGGTCCTGACAGGACACACTGAGGGACTCCAGTGTCTTTGAGGGTCAGGATCATCCCTGTACACACAAAACACAGAACGAACCCATCACACAATGAACAAAGCAAACAACCACAGTCTCTAATCATGTGAGGAAACATGGACTGTGAATAATTGCAAATCAGAGAGAAAAGTTTTCAATCGGCTTCATAAGCAGCCATGAAAGAGGCATTACTTGTGCAGAAAAAGTGTCAAATGCAACAGAATAATGCATGGCAATGGTAACAAAATCTATGAGTGTAAAAAAAACATGCACAGACAAATCCAAATTAAACCCTGCGGCTCATGACGACACATTGATGTCCTAAGACACAAAACGATCGGTTTGTGCCAGAAACCAAACAGTATTTATATCATTTTTTACCTCTAATACACCACTATGTCCAACTGCTTTGAGCATGCGCACGGCTTCCAGTGCGTGAGGTGTGTACGCGTTCTGGCGTAGTTTACAAACGTAAACCACGCCAGAGCGTGTACACACCTTGCGCATCGGATGCCGTGCGCGCGCTCAAAGACAGTTGGACATAGTGGTGTATTCAAGGTAAAAAAATGATATAAATACTGTTCGGTTTCTGGCACAAAACTATCGTTTCGTGTCTTAGGACATCAATGTGTCGTCACGAGCCGCAGGGTTTAATTTGGATTTGTCTGTGCATGTTTTTTTACACTCATAGATTTTGTTACCATTGTCATGCATTATACGACTGACAGACTGCAACGGCTTGAGTTAAAAATCATCAAATGTGTTCTACTGAAGAAACAAAGTCACCTACATCTTGGATGCCCTGGGGGTAAGCAGATAAACATTAAATTTTCATTTTTTGGGTGAACTATCCCTTTAATCATATATTTATAAATACTCATACTTCCGTTTATATACTACTGGTTTGTTAGCACTGCATAACGTGATAGTTTCTTAATGTTATTAGTCTTATTACGAATATTAACCTATATTTTTATTACATTTATTATTATTAAGTAAGTAATTAACATTATAATTTGTTTAAATATGTTGTCATGTCATTGAACGCTTCACACATGTCCATACTTCACTCAACATCAACTACTTATGCATTAAACCTAATCGTGATTATTGGTGAAGGCTGTTATAAAGTGTAATATATCACAGATGTCACTGTGATACTGAGTGAGGATCAGCGCGCACCTGTTATACTCAGAGAAGACATACAGCGAGGCTCCGTTGTCTCTGCTCCCGGCGCCCAACACCTGCACATAGACGGTGGCGGGCCCGTGCAGCTCGCCCGGCCTGCGGCTCTCCTTCACCTTCACATGGCGCAGGGTGTCTCTGACAGCTCTGCTCTTCCTGGAGGACTGAGTCTGCATCAGTCTGACGGCTCCCTGCAGCACAGGCTCTTTACACACTCCCAGCGCTCTGAGTGCGGAGAGACGCGCGAGCATAACGTTACTCAACGCGCAGCGGCTACGAACGGGCGGCTCATATCTTCTGCTCGATAAACACAAATATCACAGCCCATGTGCTGTTAGTTTGTGCAGTTTGGAGGACTCACGTGTGTTGACGCTGGACGCGCTTCCGACGCATGATGATGACGCTTGACGCACGTAGAAATAGAACTAGCTAGAATGGCGCATATAAATATTTACAGTTAGATATAATGTAGTTATAGTAGATGTTAAAATGGTTGTGTGGCTCTAATAAAATGGCTAAAATAGGCGTAGAAGCCCTGAAAGGTAGACAGGTATGATAATGTATCTATTTTAACTGTGTATTTTTAATTAAAATGTCTATTAAAGTCCACCAGTGTGTTTATTCAGATGTGAAATCAGCAATCCCAAATGAGTTCGATTCGATTCGAACGACTGTGGTTGGTCCATTCTGACCAGCGCTGAGAAAAGTAACAGCGCTGTCATCTATATCTGTTACTTTTCTCAGCGCTGGTCAGAATGGACCAACCACAGTCGTTCGCGATTGCTGGAAATGATATATAAACGATTGTTTATTGGTCACTGCTGTAGTGCTCTCTCATTTGTGTTTTACTTATCAGTTCGGGATTTTTAATTACATTTGAACGATTATATTTTAAAGTGGGTAAAATGAAAAAAACGTTGTGACATTTGAACTTGGATCAAGGGAAAACCTGCTTTCTGAGCTGACAGGTGCCCTCTGGAGGAGAAAAAAAACTGTGTATCAAAGAAAAAATATAATTTTTTAATAATTAAATAATGTATTTTTGATCCAAAATAGTGTAAACGAAATTATATATTTAAAACAATCTGTAATTTTATTAAAAAAATTAAATGTTATGAATTAAAAATAGTATTCATATTATCACCATTGTTTTTAATAATACCATGTTTTAATAATTATTTATATTACACACATTACAAATAATAAAAAATAAAGTTCTGGAATATAAAAAATCTGGGATATTATAAAATGGAATAATTAAATTGTAAAACAAAATAACTGTATTATATTAAAATATATTACATAAATACATTAAATATCATATTTTTGATTCAAAATAATTCAATTATATATTAAAAATATGTAATTTTATAACAATTAAAACAATATTCATATTATCATTATTTATAATTATATATTTAATAATTTATCTATATTACATTACAAATATAAAAAAAAACTAAAATCTGTAATATAAAACTGAAGAATCAAATTTTAAAACAAAATAATTACATTGTAAATTATTCATATTAATAGTGAATTAAGTCATTAATATGTAAAAACGTTTATGCAGTAAATAAACAACATATAGAGTCATTATATCAAATATCAAATTATTTGATAATAAGATTCGCTACATTTTACAAAGCACCAAACATGGAGTCGTTTCCATATTCCTCAGTTTTATTTATAATATCAGCACACAGTCGTTGTACAGTGAGGATTACAGAAACCCCGGCCACCTCTGCATCATCATTCACCTTTACATACAAAACACATGTTTAATATCACATACATGAAGAGGGGGGACGAGACACGAGCAGGTTTCCAGTACGTCGAAGGCTTTCCGAATCAAATATTCCACAAGTGATTTCAGAAATATAAATACAATTTCCAGGCTTATTTATTATTTCATTATTTCATATCGGTTTAAAATCACTATTCCGCATCCGCGAGAGATCAGACCGCCGTCAGACACGTGTGTTTGCACTTTACAGATGCATGTGTGTGTGTGTGTGTGAGATGTGAGAGCGACAGTAAGAGAGAGAGAGAGAGAGAGAGAGAGAGAGAGACGTGGGAAGGAGGTATTTTACAGTCGAGCTTGAACTGAACGTTCGGTCGTGTACGGTTTCGTGTTTTAATACTGCCGTTCTGTGTTTAAACCCACGCGTCAGTCCACATACATGGGGGAGCTGGGAGACGCGGGCATCTGATCCAGGATCATGCAGACATAGCTGGCCACGTCTACCGTACGCTCCTCGTACATCTGAATGAAGGGATGTTTCTGAGAGACAGAGAGAGAGAGAGGAGAGAGAAGTCTGGTTTACTTTCATTTCTTTCACTCCACAGCACTTCTGCTTTAGTCTTCTTGAGAGTTTCGTATCCTTTGTAATGCACATCTCAAATGAATTGTGCTTTTATCTAGTGGTCGACCGATATCGTTTTTTTGACAGCCGATGCCGATATCTTGGAAAGCAGGGGGGGGCATAGCCGATATTAAAGCCGATATTATATGTTTTTAATTTTAATTAATATTTAAGAAATTTGAAATCATTTGACAATGGATTAAAAAATAAATGTGTAAACTAAACATACTTATACTTTAGATTACAAAGTATATTTCACAAATAAATAAATATTTAATAAAAATATAATTGAAAAGGAAGTAATAATCTGATTATTAAACAGACTTCTATCCGTATTAGACAGAACTGTTAACAACGAGAGAATGTGAGCACTGTGTGTTCAGGCGCTGCCGTTCTCAGCGCCGTCAAAATAAACATCCCTCCTCGAACACATCGGCCAAACAGAAAAACTTATCGGCCGATGCCGATATTTGAAAAATACCAAATATCGGCCGATATATCGGCTTTGGCAATATCGGGCGACCACTAATTTTATCACATCTGAAGCATTAAATATGGCTTAAAATGTTTTCAAAGAAGATCAAATATATTTGTTGAAATCAGCTAAAACACCTAAAAATATACATAAACTGACATCATAGTTATTAGGTTTTGTTGTCTCAACAGCTGTCGTGTTTATTTAAGAGCCAGGATTCACAGAATCTTGAAAATAAGACTTGGATAAATTAGGGTAGGATTTTTTAGAACTGGAAAAGTCACTAAAATTAATAAAATATAGGTCATGGAATTTTCTATGATGAATGTACATTTTTCTAAATATGTTCAAATCTTAATTTATTAGGTAGAGACTGCTTAGAAATTGCTATTTGTATTTGTTAATAATAATAAATATAACTAAATAAATAAATACTGGAAAATTCATTCTGGAATTATAGAATTTTATTATTTTAAAAGGTCACAACTCTTTAAAAAAAAACATACAATATACAAATATAAAAATATTAAAGAATATTAATTAGATGCTTTAGGATAGTGGACATATACATATGTATTTTTTTGGCAGATTTTAAATAAATAGTCCATCATAGTGTGACAAATTAAATTCAAATATTTTTAAACGTAATCTCTTAAATAACATGACATTATATAATAATAATAACTATTCTTATTAATAAGAATAAGAATACTTTTTTGCTGTTCTTATGATGGCTCAAATCATTAATGAATATTATTCTAAACAAAAAAGAATTGTATTAATAAAACAGCTACACCAACAACAACAATTAATTTAATTTTAAAAAATGCTGTTTAAAACACTATATAGCCATATCCAGGGTTTCTCCACCTTTTGACAAATGCATTTCCTTGGCTTTTTATTTGGATGAGGATTTGGGGAAATAAACTCATATAAACACCCATTTCTAGCCAATTAAACCTTTTATGGCATAATTTCCAAGATCAGGATAAAATAAAATGAAAACTATGTCATGTCAAAAAGTGGCTTTCAGCAGAAAACAGGAACTCACCAGAAGCTCTTTGTACTTTGGCCTTTTTGACTCGTCCTTTGTAAGGCTGTTAGAAACAAAAAAAAGATTTAATTCAAGCCCTTGAGGGTCAAATGAATCATAAGCTCAATCTTGAGCTCTTGCAGTTGCTGTGAATGAGCAGCAGGAGGCGTCGTGTGCATCATGTGATCGCACAGTAAATCGGAGTTATTACATCCCGTCTGCGGAGTCAGCAAACTCTGAGAAAGAGGAAACGCTGGAGATCGCAGTGTGACTGCGGTCATGTGTGTGTGTGTGTGTGTGTATGTCTCACCACAAGTTGACAAAGTTGATGAATTTGGGGGAGAACTGTCTCTCCTCTGAGCAGCTGAGCTGCGGCGGGTCGCCCTTCACCACCTGCGTCAGCTGATCGAACACACTGTTCCACTTCGGGTAGGGGAACCGTCCTGTGGCCAGTTCATACTGAAACAGCAGTTTAACACATCAAACGCACACAGAAATCACTTTCAGTACCACACACAGACGATCACATGACAGATCATCATCCTCACCAGTGTGATTCCCAAACTCCAGACGTCTGAGCGCACATCGTAACCCTGTCTGGAAGCGCTGGGGTCTATCCTCTCCGGCTGAGGGACAAACACACACAAACACGCAGAGTCAACCATACAGAAAGACTCCAGACGTGACAGCAAAACTCAATTATTTACAAGTAATCAAATTTTGCAGCTGTTAATTTGGCACAAAGTGTGCATGTAATTCTAAAGAACAATCATTATTATTATTAATACTGTCAAACGATTAATCACATCCAAAATAAGTTTTTGTTTACATATTGTGTGTGTGTAATGTGTATATTTATGTATACGCAAATACACTTGCATGTGTATATATTTAATAAAAATGTAAAATTTTTTATATAAAATTATATTTATATAAAATATAAATAATATATGAATAGAAATATATACACATGTACATATTTTTTAAATATATACATGTGTGTGTGTATTTATATATCCATAATAAATATACACAGTACACACACATATATTATGTAAACAAAAGCTTTTATTTTAGGTGCAATTAATCGCAGTTATTATACATTGTTGTTTTTTTATTAATAAAAATAATAAATTTACTTCATGTTTGGAATCAATTTGTCAGCTGAAACACTTGTCAAGAAAAATTATTTTAAGCAATAATATTGTTTTGTTTGGATTGATAAAATTAAACATTTTTAAAATAATATAAAAATCAAGAATATTCCGTTTTACTGTGAATGTCTCATGTTTTATGACAAAGTTCACATAATTTTTTGCTGCTATTATTTTAGCATGAATCATTAGTGCGTTATTCTAAACAAAAATATAGTATTATTAATTATTTTAAAGTAATTTCCTAGCGCATGCGATTTAAAAATATTAAATATTTATATTAGAAAAGAAGAAAAAAAACCTCTCCATTTCTGATTTTTTTTTTTGTTTCTGTTTCAATCAGAAACACCTCACACTGTTGAGATTAAATGTTTCATTGTTGAAACTGACTATTTAATTTCTTACATTTTTTTTTTATCTTAAAATGTATAATTTAACATTTTTTATGTCATAAAATGTATGACATATAAAGTCCCGTCCTATGAATATTCTAATTCACTCAGAAATACGGGATTTCTGAGGTTAATTGTGCTGAAAATGCTGTTTCAACTAGTATAGATGTAGAAAAGCTGAGCTCATGGGTTCATTTCTCATCGGTCGTGTACGGTTTCGTGTTTTAATACTGCCGTTCTGTGTTTAAACCCACGCGTCAGTCCACATACATGGGGGAGCTGGGAGACGCGGGCATCTGATCCAGGATCATGCAGACATAGCTGGCCACGTCTACCGTACGCTCCTCGTACATCTGAATGAAGGGATGTTTCTGAGAGACAGAGAGAGAGAGAGGAGAGAGAAGTCTGGTTTACTTTCATTTCTTTCACTCCACAGCACTTCTGCTTTAGTCTTCTTGAGAGTTTCGTATCCTTTGTAATGCACATCTCAAATGAATTGTGCTTTTATCTAGTGGTCGACCGATATCGTTTTTTTGACAGCCGATGCCGATATCTTGGAAAGCAGGGGGGGGCATAGCCGATATTAAAGCCGATATTATATGTTTTTAATTTTAATTAATATTTAAGAAATTTGAAATCATTTGACAATGGATTAAAAAATAAATGTGTAAACTAAACATACTTATACTTTAGATTACAAAGTATATTTCACAAATAAATAAATATTTAATAAAAATATAATTGAAAAGGAAGTAATAATCTGATTATTAAACAGACTTCTATCCGTATTAGACAGAACTGTTAACAACGAGAGAATGTGAGCACTGTGTGTTCAGGCGCTGCCGTTCTCAGCGCCGTCAAAATAAACATCCCTCCTCGAACACATCGGCCAAACAGAAAAACTTATCGGCCGATGCCGATATTTGAAAAATACCAAATATCGGCCGATATATCGGCTTTGGCAATATCGGGCGACCACTAATTTTATCACATCTGAAGCATTAAATATGGCTTAAAATGTTTTCAAAGAAGATCAAATATATTTGTTGAAATCAGCTAAAACACCTAAAAATATACATAAACTGACATCATAGTTATTAGGTTTTGTTGTCTCAACAGCTGTCGTGTTTATTTAAGAGCCAGGATTCACAGAATCTTGAAAATAAGACTTGGATAAATTAGGGTAGGATTTTTTAGAACTGGAAAAGTCACTAAAATTAATAAAATATAGGTCATGGAATTTTCTATGATGAATGTACATTTTTCTAAATATGTTCAAATCTTAATTTATTAGGTAGAGACTGCTTAGAAATTGCTATTTGTATTTGTTAATAATAATAAATATAACTAAATAAATAAATACTGGAAAATTCATTCTGGAATTATAGAATTTTATCATTTTAAAAGGTCACAACTCTTTAAAAAAAACATACAATATACAAATATAAAAATATTAAAGAATATTAATTAGATGCTTTAGGATAGTGGACATATACATATGTATTTTTTTGGCAGATTTTAAATAAATAGTCCATCATAGTGTGACAAATTAAATTCAAATATTTTTAAACGTAATCTCTTAAATAACATGACATTATATAATAATAATAACTATTCTTATTAATAAGAATAAGAATACTTTTTTGCTGTTCTTATGATGGCTCAAATCATTAATGAATATTATTCTAAACAAAAAAGAATTGTATTAATAAAACAGCTACACCAACAACAACAATTAATTTAATTTTAAAAAATGCTGTTTAAAACACTATATAGCCATATCCAGGGTTTCTCCACCTTTTGACAAATGCATTTCCTTGGCTTTTTATTTGGATGAGGATTTGGGAAAATAAACTCATATAAACACCCATTTCTAGCCAATTAAACCTTTTATGGCATAATTTCCAAGATCAGGATAAAATAAAATGAAAACTATGTCATGTCAAAAAGTGGCTTTCAGCAGAAAACAGGAACTCACCAGAAGCTCTTTGTACTTTGGCCTTTTTGACTCGTCCTTTGTAAGGCTGTTAGAAACAAAAAAAAGATTTAATTCAAGCCCTTGAGGGTCAAATGAATCATAAGCTCAATCTTGAGCTCTTGCAGTTGCTGTGAATGAGGAGCAGGAGGCGTCGTGTGCATCATGTGATCGCACAGTAAATCGGAGTTATTACATCCCGTCTGCGGAGTCAGCAAACTCTGAGAAAGAGGAAACGCTGGAGATCGCACAGTGTGACTGGTCATGTGTGTGTGTGTGTGTGTGTGTATGTCTCACCACAAGTTGACAAAGTTGATGAATTTGGGGGAGAACTGTCTCTCCTCTGAGCAGCTGAGCTGCGGCGGGTCGCCCTTCACCACCTGCGTCAGCTGATCGAACACACTGTTCCACTTCGGGTAGGGGAACCGTCCTGTGGCCAGTTCATACTGAAACAGCAGTTTAACACATCAAACGCACACAGAAATCACTTTCAGTACCACACACAGACGATCACATGACAGATCATCATCCTCACCAGTGTGATTCCCAAACTCCAGACGTCTGAGCGCACATCGTAACCCTGTCTGGAAGCGCTGGGGTCTATCCTCTCCGGCTGAGGGACAAACACACACAAACACGCACAGTCAACCATACAGAAAGACTCCAGACGTGACAGCAAAACTCAATTATTTACAAGTAATCAAATTTTGCAGCTGTTAATTTGGCACAAAGTGTGCATGTAATTCTAAAGAACAATCATTATTATTATTAATACTGTCAAACGATTAATCACATCCAAAATAAGTTTTTGTTTACATATTGTGTGTGTGTAATGTGTATATTTATGTATACGCAAATACACTTGCATGTGTATATATTTAATAAAAATGTAAAATTTTTTATATAAAATTATATTTATATAAAATATAAATAATATATGAATAGAAATATATACACATGTACATATTTTTTAAATATATACATGTGTGTGTGTATTTATATATCCATAATAAATATACACAGTACACACACATATACACACACACACACACACAAGCAATTCATTAAAACCGCATTTAAAGAAACGTTATCTCCCCATACACACAGTGATCAAGAATAGACTATTGCACATGTAGAATATATTTGTCCGACAACAGCTACATGGGATCCACGTACAAACAGTAATGTTAAAGAGCTAAGCTTCATTCATGGACACTCCTGCAGTTACATCACTCTACAGCACACGCACACGCACGCTCAGCTTCAGAAAGGACGACAGGAAATTACTTAACTTAATTTTTGATTAGTAATATGCATTGAAATTCATTTGGACAACTTTAAAGGTGATTTTCCTCAATATTTTGATTTTTTTTTGCACTTTCAGATTACAGATATTCAAATAGTTGTATCCTAACAAACCATACATCAATGGAAAGCTTAGAGAAATTGACCCTTATGACTGGTTTTGTGGTCCAGGGTCACATATATACATATACATATATATATATAAATAAACACATAAACACACACGGTTTTTAATGTTCAAATTATTATTATTATTTTATTTTATTACAAAAAATTACCCCAATAGCAGTGGCATCTTTAAATAAATAAAAATAAATCAATAAATGTAATAACATTTACTTTATTTTATTCTATTTATTTTTCAGCAGCACATTGAATTAATCAAAACTGACCGTAAAGGCATTCATAATGTTACAAAAGATGTCTATTTTAAATGCTTTTCTTTTGAAATTTCTATTCATTAAATAATCCTGGACAAAAAAAAAAAAAAAAAGTCACGTCAAAGTTCGTACCATATCATTACGTATCAATTTTGTATCAAAGTTGCCACAAAAATATGAAGCAGCACAATTGTTTTCAACATTGATGATAATCAGAAATGTTTCTAGAGCATCAAATCAGCATATTAGAATGATTTCTGAAAGATCATTACGCAAATACACTTGCATGTGTATATATTTAATAAAAATGTAAAATTTTTTATATAAAATTATATTTATATAAAATATAAATAATATATGAATAGAAATATATACACATGTACATATTTTTTAAATATATACATGTGTGTGTGTATTTATATATCCATAATAAATATACACAGTACACACACATATATTATGTAAACAAAAGCTTTTATTTTAGGTGCAATTAATCGCAGTTATTATACATTGTTGTTTTTTTATTAATAAAAATAATAAATTTACTTCATGTTTGGAATCAATTTGTCAGCTGAAACACTTGTCAAGAAAAATTATTTTAAGCAATAATATTGTTTTGTTTGGATTGATAAAATTAAACATTTTTAAAATATAAAAATCAAGAATATTCCGTTTTACTGTGAATGTCTCATGTTTTATGACAAAGTTCACATAATTTTTTGCTGCTATTATTTTAGCATGAATCATTAGTGCGTTATTCTAAACAAAAATATAGTATTATTAATTATTTTAAAGTAATTTCCTAGCGCATGCGATTTAAAAATATTAAATATTTATATTAGAAAAGAAGAAAAAAAACCTCTCCATTTCTGATTTTTTTTTTTGTTTCTGTTTCAATCAGAAACACCTCACACTGTTGAGATTAAATGTTTCATTGTTGAAACTGACTATTTAATTTCTTACATTTTTTTTTTATCTTAAAATGTATAATTTAACATTTTTTATGTCATAAAATGTATGACATATAAAGTCCCGTCCTATGAATATTCTAATTCACTCAGAAATACGGGATTTAAAAAAAAAAAAAAAGTCACGTCAAAGTTCGTACCATATCATTACGTATCAATTTTGTATCAAAGTTGCCACAAAAATATGAAGCAGCACAATTGTTTTCAACATTGATGATAATCAGAAATGTTTCTAGAGCATCAAATCAGCATATTAGAATGATTTCTGAAAGATCATGCGGCACTGAAGACTGGAGTAATGATGCTGAAAATTCAGCTTTGATCACTGAAATGCATTACATCTAAAAATACGACTGTTTTTACTGTATTTTGGTCAAATAAATGCAGCCTTAGCGAGCAGCAGAAGAGACTTTCTTCTGTTCAAAAACATTTCAAAATCTTACCAACCTCAAACTTATGAATGGTAGTGGTAATGAATCTATAAATGAATAAATCTTACTGCCATATATGGTCTGCAGCCTGCGTCTCTGGTTTTGGCGATGGAGTCGACCAACTGCCCGCTGATGCCAAAATCACACAGCTTAATGTTGCCTTTCCTGTCCAGGAGGATATTTGATGGCTTTATGTCTGCAGAAAGACCAGGAAAGAGCTTCAGTCCGAGTAAAACAGAACTCATTCATATCCAAACCCACTTATACCTCCTCAACAAAAACACACAAACAGAAATAAACCGATAGAGGTCAGAAATGAAAGACTTCTAGAAGACGCCATTATAATTCTGCCTCTCTTACCTCTGTGAATAATTTTCAAGTTTTCTTTTAAGTGGTTAAGTGCTTTCACAGTCTGAAACGACACAGAAGAACACAGCATTTTAATGAACGCTAACGAAACGCATCACTTAATCAATGCCAAAGTGGAATTAAATGAATGAAAACTCACAACTAATGTTATTTTCCCTAAAATCTCCTCTGGAATCACTTCGTCTAAAGAGGAATAAACGTATTTGTAGAATTTGTCGAAGGAGATAGACATGAGCTCCATGCATATCCAGCAATCCCCCTGAGAAAGACAAAGACAGAACAAGCGTCTTGAGAGGAAAGACTCTCTCAGAAAGCATGAGGCGGTAAGCAGACCAAACGGACAAACCTCTCTGAAAAGAGCCCCGTAAAACTGGACGATGTAGGGACAGTCGCTGCTCCTCATGACCACATCCAGATCCATCAGTAGCTGCTTCTGTTCTCGCTCGTCAACCGTCGACCGGATCCTCTGTCACACAAACACACACAGATCGAGACCGTCAGCTTATCTGATCCACACTGCAGCTTATTATTATTATCTGGTTGATTTCAAAAGAGAACATATTATGCACAAAGCACATCATTTTCTTCCCAAATGTTTGAAAGCAGTTTGAAATGAGAGAGTCAATGTAAATGCATTTTTGTAAATATTTTATTATATCTTTTCATGTGACAACACTGAAGAAATGACACTTTGCTACAATGTAAAGTAGTGAGTGTACAGCTTGTATAACCGTGTAAATCTGCTGTCCCCTCAAAATAACTCAACACACAGCCATTAATGTCTAAACCGCTGGCCACAAAAGTGAGTACACCCCTAAATGAAAATGTCCAAAATGTATTGGGGTGATATCATAAAGGTAACTGTGACAAGGAATTTAAATTGTATTTCACTTTGTAAATTAAAATAAAAGTTAAAAAAAAATTAGGTGAAAACCAGTGAAAATATGACATATAATTTAAAATGAATAATTAGTACATGAAATAGTCAAAACAACTGTAGTAGCCCAATTTATAAAAGGTGTAATTTTCCATCATTCAGTTACTATTCTTAAAGGACTTAAGATATTTGATATCTTCAGTAACTTCTTCGTTTATCTGTATCTTGTTTTATCAATTAAATTTAGTATTCTGAGTGACTTATTATGAAAAAAAGCATTGGTAATAGTAAGTCTTCAGCCTACACCTTTTTTGGTTAATATGTAAAATGATGTATAATTATTATGCAATTGTGTAAGACGACTGAAATAATAAAAGCTTGATGATATTGTGACCAAGAACTGGCAATTTAGAGAAATATATATATATATATATATATATATATATATATATATATACACTTTTTTTTTCTGAAATTGATGATACCACAACAAAAGGCAAAAGTCATTCAAATAATGGTCGTCAAAACAGAAGAAACTCTGTACATTTTTTAATTTGTGGGTGTTATTTAATTTTGGGGTACAATTTCCAGCCATCTAAAACGAATAGAATTATTCAATATTTGATAGACATAACTTTGTGGAAAACAAATAATACATGCTGTGCTAAAGGTTATCCTGTTTATGTGGTACTGTATGCATCAAACTAAATATGGTTTAAGGTTCTAACACCATGAACCTCACAAAATGAACCAAATCCAATTAGCTAGGCTTATTTTGCCCTTATTTTACGTGGAGGTGCACAAACAACTTTCATTTCTAGTATGGTACCAAATACAACTTTGGTGTTCTGGTCTATACTGACTCTTGGAAAAGCTTGCCTTTTCAAGAAGGCTGTGTGCTTTATTGATCACACACACACACAGTTTTTAGCTTTCAAAAACAACCTAAAGTGTAACAGAAACCGATCAGTAACTTATGCGTCTTACTTTGACGGCCATGATTTGTCCACTGGGTTTGTGCACCATCTTGTTGACGGAGCCGTACGCTCCTCGGCCGATCTCACCAAGATCCTTCAGGTCTTCGGCTGTGAAGTCCCAGTGCTGCTCCGGAGAGATCTTCAGCTTCCCAGACGACTCGATACTGTGTGTCCGCAGCCGCTCTCTGAAAACACACACGCATACATGCATGTGAAGACGATCATGGCTAAGGCTGAAAAGACAAAACTGAAGTCTTGACATTATCCACAAACGACAGTTCTGAGTTGATGGCCAAAACTCACAGGTTGATGATTAGGGCTGCAACAAATTATTGTTATAATTTTTTTTTTTAAATCCATTAATCTGACATTTATTTAATTGATACATTTGGATTGCAAAAAAACAACAACAACATGTAATTCCATTTCACTTGAGAAAGCAATGTTATGAATACCAGAAACAAGAGTTTTAAGTGAAAAACTGTTTACTGAGAGTAATCCACGCCACTCCAGTCCATCAATTAATGTCTTGTGAAGCCAAAAGCTGTGTTTGTGTAAGAAACAAATCCATCAAGGCGTTTTTTTAACTTCAAACTGTTGCTTCCGGCTAATATTTGAGTCTATAATCCATAATATTGCTTTCTCCAGTGGAAAAAGGTGTCTCATCTGAATCAGGAGAGAAATCTGCACAGAATTGATAAGCAAAAACAGTCCAAAACGGCTCTAAACAAATATGTGGGTGGATTTTGATGTGAGAGACAACAGGAGATGGACTTTATCCCCTGAGAGTTTTATGGATTATAGACTGGTATTTTAGCTGGAAGCAACAGTCTGAAGTTAAAAACGTCACAATGGATTTGTTTCTTACAGATATGTAGTTTTTCACTTCACAAGTGAATTTTTGGCTATTGCTACAAATATACCCCAGCGACTTAAGACTGCTTTTGTGCTCCAGGGTCACATATTGTTTTTTTAAATCCATAAAATAAAGAAAAATAATGTTAAACCAAATCTAACACTGATTATAGCTAGTTTTGTAAGGAATAATATTGATCAGACTGCTGAATTAATGAAAATTAATATAAACGTTAAATAACACTTTTTTTTCTTTTCTTATTTCAGTATTTTCTCCCTGTATTTTGGTCTGTAACCCTATTCATCTTTCTATAGATATTAAAAATAAGTTCTGTGAAGGGAAAATGTAATTTGTTTGCCATTTTATTCCGTTTCTTTTCTTTCGTTATAATAATAATAATTCACAAGGCAGTTGTGTGACTATTTCTGCTCTTCTCATAATAAACAGATGCACATTTCACCTCAATCCACAATTTCAAGGAATTATGAGACTTTACAGAGATATCAGTGTTTTGAGGGTCGTGTGAAGAGACCAAAGTTCACTAGAGACATGCACATCTGAGCACCAGGAGAGGAACCCAAGAGCCAGATTTCCTAAAGCCATCAGAACATGCTGAAGGTGTAAAACATCTTCATTAGAAAAAAATATAGAGGGTGACGATGGCTTTAGCAAATCTGGCAGCAGAGGACAGTGACTGCAGTCCGACATGCTCAAACCCTGCGTTTAACGTCACCAAATCAGCTAATCTTTCCCCATCTACAGCCACTCAAGACAACAGAGCGTTAAAAAGATCTGATCACATCCGGACACAAAACGGACGATCTGAAACGAAAACTAAAATCAAACTTACCTTCATCACACACAAAACCTAACACAAGCCAAACACAAAATTATACATGAATCTGTAATGTGCAAACTGTACGGTCCATCTAGACTGCGAGAGGTGCGCTTTTATAAGCACTAAAAATAGCCACCACAGAAATGAAGCCAATGCAACATGACAGAATCACAAAAACATTTTTTTTACTTTTATTAGTTAAAAACGGAAAATAAAGTTTTCGTAATTAAATTTGGGTAATTGAACTCTATCTGCTGTTCAGGGCATTTTGATATTTCACCTTAATACATTTTACATAATTTTACTCTAGAATCATTTTTATTTACAGTGAAAATGCATCAAAACAAATTATCAAAGAAATTAAATGTCACTGTTTTGGTCACTGTTTCTTTCCACCAAAACTAGTTAATCAGAAACATTAAAAGAAAAGAAAAAGAAACCGAGAACACAGAAACCACAAATAATATTACTGATATGTGACCCTGGACCACAAAACCATTAATAAGGGTACATGTTTGGAAATTTGAATAAATAAGCTTTCCATTGATGTATGATTTGTTAGGGTATGACCATATTTGGCCGAGATACAACTATTTGAAAATCTGGAATCTGGGGGTGCAAAAAAATCTAAATATTGAGAAAATCGCCTTTAAAGCGGTCCAAATAAAGTTCAATGCATATTACTAATCAAAATTAAGTTTTTATATATTTATGGTAGGAAATGTACAAAATATCTTCATGGAGCATGATCTTTACTTAATATCCTAATTATTTTATGGCATTAAAAAAAATTTGATAATTTTGACCCATACAATGAATTTTTGGCTATTGCTACAAATATACCCCAGCGACTTAAGACTGCTTTTGTGCTCCAGGGTCACATATTGTTTTTTTAAATCCATAAAATAAAGAAAAATAATGTTAAACCAAATCTAACACTGATTATAGCTAGTTTTGTAAGGAATAATATTGATCAGACTGCTGAATTAATGAAAATTAATATAAACGTTAAATAACACTTTTTTTTATTTTCTTATTTCAGTATTTTCTCCCTGTATTTTGGTCTGTAACCCTATTCATCTTTCTATAGATATTAAAAATAAGTTCTGTGAAAGGAAAATGTAATTTGTTTGCCATTTTATTCCGTTTCTTTTCTTTCGTTATAATAATAATTCACAAGGCAGTTGTGTGACTATTTCTGCTCTTCTCATAATAAACAGATGCACATTTCACCTCAATCCACAATTTCAAGGAATTATGAGACTTTACAGAGATATCAGTGTTTTCTAAAACTATAATTCAATGCTTGTGTCACCATATAATTGCAAACTTATAAGTGAAAATTAAGTCATATGACAAAAGAGAAATTAAAACAACGTTAACATAAAACAAACAACACTTAAGCACCAAAAAGCCCTTCAGATTCATGAAAGTAACTGGGAAATGAGTGCAAGCACATCTCTGAGAAATGAAGGACTATTTTCCCTCCACCACAAGAATGTGAGGATCCGAATACCAGAGGAACGGCATTTCTGAAATCTCACGACATGTGCGTCCATGTCCCAACAAGCTGGTGTTTGTTCGAGATGCTCATGCCAAAAACATCCCAGCAGTGCTTCAACACTAAACAAAATGCAAACCGAAGAAACAGGGAAGACAGCTACTACACCCAAGGCAATGTTCACTGCACCGGTTAGTAGAAAGCCACCCAAACACCTCAGTAAACAACCATCAGAGCTTCCATTACTGTATGCTAACCATTGATCATTGTAGAAAGGACATGCGTGATCATTAAAGAGATCTTGATCAAGTGCAGGCTGATTTTGATTAAATGGACTAAATCAAAAGAAAGTCAGGACCAATCGACTGTCCAAGAGTGAATCTTTTTGCTCCAAAGTCAATGGAAGCTCAAAGTCTAAGACTTGTGCCGATTTCTCACTAAAATCCTCTTTATGTTGTTGTTTGACACAGATATATGAACATTTAAGTTACCGAATGGAAATACTGACTACCAATATGTGTTTTTTAAAGGGGTCATATGTGACATTGCTAAAAAGAACATTATTTTGTGTATTTGGTGTAATGCAATGTAAGGTTCAAAAAACACATTATTTTCTACATAATGTGTATTATTGTTTCTCCTCTATGCCCCGCCTTTCTGAAACGCGTCAATTTTTACAAAGCTCATCGGTCTGAAAAGCGAGGTGTGCTCTGATTGGCCAGCTATACGGTGTGTTGTGATTGGCCGAATCCACACTCTAGCCCCCGGCTTCTGCTCACTCTAGGCCGCCGTGTGTGACGCTGTGTTTCGTTGTGAAAGCAAAACTACTTTGTTTGGTCTTCCAAAAATGGACACGACTTGAAATCAGTGGTTAAGTTGTATTTACAACACTGTTCCAGAACACTTCAACCCAAATATTCAGATGTGTCCAGCGCATTTTATGGAGGACTGTTTCCTGATCCTGGGAGAGTAGACTACAATGCCGGCTGTTCTGACTCACAGACTGCAAGTAAGTTTTTTATATTTAAAAAATTTGCCACTGACTATTCAAACACGAGTTTTGAGCAGTGTAGAGTAGCACTTGTTGTTTGTAATTTCTTCGATCACAAATGCAGACATGGTTTTATGTTTACGTGGCGCGATGCAATGCAATGCGTAAAAAGACAGTATAAGTCATTATAATCCGTAATTATGTCCCCACTGGATGCAACAAATGTCTCGTTTATAATGGGTTTTAATGTGTTTGTCTCGTCGCTCCGGCCGGACAGGACATCACAATATGGTGAGGGGCGTAACTTTTCCGTCTCACGCTTGAGGTTTTCGGCCAATCATAACGCACTGGACAGCTGGCCAATCAGGGCACACCTCGCTTTTCAGAACGATGAGCTTTGTAAAAATCCTTTCTGTTTCAGAAAGGCGAAACAATAATGTACAGTATGTGGAAAATAATGCGTTTTTACATTTCAATAATTTAAATAGTTGTCACCATTTATCAAATATAATTTTTATTTAGTATATTAGGCTAATGACATTTTCTTGCTTTACTATAAGATGGCTTTAGTTTGTATAGTCAATACAATTTCTTAGTATTTTTAACTATAACATTAAAATACTAGTGTAGTACAAATCAATTTTTTATTAAAAAAGCAAATAAAAAGCAGTCCAACAAACACTATCATGATGCATAAAAACAAAACAAACAAATAAATACATAAAACATTTTCATTATGTATTTATTATTTATTTGCTATTCTCAAAACATAACGGCAGTATTTGTTGTCATCATTTATCAATTGTATATAATGTACATTTATATAATATCATTATAATCAGTTATTTAAGGTAAAGATTGCATTACGGCTTCATTCTCTTTAGGCAAAACGTTATGTCCTTTTTTTTTTAAATAAACTTTAGAGTTATATTCTTCATATTTGTATTATTTTATTATTTTGTGGTTACACATGGCTGCAAAATTTGCACATTATAAG